AGGCTGACCTGTCTGGGATCACGGAGGACGCTCCCCTGAGGCTCTCCCAGGTGAGGATGGCCATGGTCCAGGGGTCTGCAGGCCAGAGTGGTGGGGGCCTGCTCAGGCCTGAGGCTGATGGAGGGGAAATGGGATACAGCAAGGTCCTCCTGAGGATGCAGAGCTTCACTAGCTCTGACAGGGGAGGAGGACAGAGCCCAGGAGGTGGCCTTCCAGGAACCACCCCTGAGGGTCCCACTGACCCTTGTCCTCTTCCTTTCCCAGGGCCATTGAGTCCTTGAGCTTCTGTTTACCCACATTTACTCAGAGAGGCTTAGGCTCAGTGACTTCAGGGAATGTTCTGGAATCTTTCACCTGTGACATTTAGAGCTACTTGTGCAGCAAATCTGAATTATTACTGAGTCCACTCAAATGGGCCACTTGCTGGGGAAAGCACGAAGGAGCAGAGCAACTGCAGGTCCATGTGGGTGGCTCCCTCTTGGGGTCTGGGCACTGGGAAGTTCACCACCAGTGTCCCTGTGCCAAGGAGCTCCTAGCCCTACAGGGGGAAGGGGATACATGTGCAGGTGACATGGAGGACGATGGTCTTCCTCTTGGGCTCCTAAGGTCACATCCCAGGGCAGAAGAGATGGAGGTCAGGAAAGGACGGGGAGGGGACCAGGCTGAGTCAGGCAGAGGTTGAGATGGGGTTAGGGGGACCTGAGTGACCCACAGGGAGCCTAGGACAGGACAGGCTGGTCCAGCAGGAAGGCCCTGGTGAGGTCCTTTGGTGGGAGGCTCCCACRTGGGGCCTTGCTGCAGCCTGGGGTGGGGCAGCAGGACCTCAGARCCCCTCTGCTTCTCTCCCMTCCAGGCCCTGCATAAGGCTGTGCTGACCTTCGACAAGGAAGAGACAGTGGCCRCAGGGGATGCCAAATGGGAAGAAAACACCTTGTTTAAGGCCCCCACTGTCCAGTTCAACAGGCCCTTCTTGCTCATCATTAGGGATGAGTACACCAACTTTCCCCTCTTTGGTGGCAAAATAGT